TATCTTAATATGTCTCCTTTAGAGACTTATTTTATGTATATGAATGTTCTACTGCATGCAGACGTGTGCACAATGTGTGTGCAGTGCCTTTGGAGGCCAGAAAAGGGTGCTGGCCACGCTGGCCCTAGATTTTACTGAACCCGAGTCTTCTGCAGGAGCACAGGGTGCTCTTAACCCTGAACACACACGGAAGGTATGATGGCAGCACTACTTAGATTTCTGAGACCATTTACTTCAGCAGCGCTATGGATCATCTCTTGACTCTGGTCACGGACAGACAAACATTCTTCTAGATGTGTATGATATGATTATTCCTTCTACCTCCATGGAATGACAAACTCAGCATCATTACACTAGAGAATCATCACTAACTCCAAAAGACAAGGCCTGATTTTGGAAAGTGTAACAGATAAACATTGATTCCAGCTCACCTTTTCCCTGTAAAGTACCTGGCAGATGCGTATCTGCAGACCCAGTCCGCCCTACCCCCGCCCCAAAAGTAATTTTTAGCACAAGTACTGGGTTATGCGCTCGTCCGGTTTCTAAGCAGCAAACAAACAAAGCATAAGCCATAAAGCGCTCCAGCTCGAGGGCAGAATAAAGAGCTGACCTGGTTTGTTTCAGTGTGGCTGTCTTTACTTTGTGAGCTGCAGAACTTTGAGGTCTAACAGAGGAATCATATAAATTGACACTTTGGATTTTTTTTAAGGGAAACATCTCCGAGGTAGTTTGATTATGTTTCATATTTTGACATCAAATGGTTTTTGTCTGTGTTTGTGACTCTGTCTATGTAGACCAGGCTGGCCTCAAACTCCCAGGGATCTGCTTCCTCTGCCTCCTCAGTGCTGGGATGAAAGGTGGCACCAGTAAGACTGTGCTCCCAATAAACTTTTTTTTTTTGAGACAGGGTTTCTCTGTGTGGCCCTGGCTGTCCTCAAGCTCACTCTGTACACCAGACTGGCTTGAACTCACTGAGATCCTCCTGCTTCTGCCTCCCAAGTGCTGGGATTAAAGGTATGCGCCCACCACTGCCTGGCTCCTAATAACTCTTAACAAGGTAGAAAATAAATCTGTGTGGTTAACCCAAAGGAGATTTTATTTTTTGTGTTTAACAGTCTGCTCTCAAAAGGATGTGAATCTCGTAACAATTCTTATACTGTTCACTGTAATAGAATCCAGATTTTATATATGGATTTACATTATTAATCAACATTGATTTTCTTCCTGTTTTTTCCCATTTAAGAACATAAATTATTTTTTTTAAGACAGGGCCCAGTCTGACCTTAAACTCTCAATTCTCCTGATTCTACCTTCAAGTGCTAGGATTATTTGCCATGAATCACTGCACTTGGTTTCTGTGGAATTAAACCCAAGGCTTTGTGCATACAAAGCAAACACTCTTATCAACTGAGCTATATTCCCTGGCATGTATCATGAAGATAAAATAAACCCAGCTCCAGAAAGGTCACACTTACAAAGCTGTTAGAGTGGTGATCGATCTAACCACACTGTATTGAAGCACCCCCAGCTTGCAGCGAAATAAGAATATTCTGCAAGAGAAGAGAACACCAAAGCTCAACTATCCAGTGCCATCAGAGCATCTCAAAGCCTCCAAACTGAAGTCACTTACAAGGCGCGGAACAGGAGGAGTAGAAAGTACTGGGACCTTGGTCTTTCCGTTTCCCACTCTTGCCATGACATATTTCAAATCAACAGGGCCCAATGATCTCATCAACAGTGCAAATAAACCCGATTATCTCAGAAATTTTGCTAGAAGTGACAATGAAAACTCTAACACANTTCAAATCAACAGGGCCCAATGATCTCATCAACAGTGCAAATAAACCCGATTATCTCAGAAATTTTGCTAGAAGTGACAATGAAAACTCTAACACACACATACTCCAGGAGAGAAACTGAGGCACAGATCAACTGGGCATATGTAAGAATGTGTTCAAAGAAAGATTTCCTGGGACAAGGGAGCCACGTAGGGTGGCAGCCTATTCTCCAGGCTGTGGCCTGGACTGCACAGAGGAGGCGGTGAGCTGAGCTCCGGCTTTCCTCGGCCTCCTGACAGCAGGTGCACCGGCCGCACGCCTTCCCACCACAATGGACTGGCCCCACAAACTCTGTTCCTTAGTTGCTCTTATCAGTCATTTTGTCCCAGCAGTGAGACAATTAGCTGTGTGATCACAGACAAGATCACGGAGGCTTCTATTCCCAGTAAAAAGAATGCTGACTAAATGTTTTCTAAGGTTCTCTCCTATAATACACTGATGAACTTTTCTACTGGAGTGATCACTTCCAACATAAAAAGAAAACAAAACAACAAACAATAAGAGCAGCTGGCTGATACTGAAAGCCCACGCGGAGGCCCATTAAAGACAAACATACTTACTCTCCCATAGCCCAGGGTGGGCAGCAGCACAGAGGACAGAGAAGCTGTTGCTGACCTTTAGCTTCCAGGTGGAGTATCATGTTGGGGATTTGAGTTGCTAGGTAATTGTTAAGGTATATCATGAAGTTATAAATTACAAAAGCTTCATAGTACTCCCTCAAGGTGTCCATGTAGACGGCGCAATGGGGGTACTTCAAAGATAGCCACTAGGAGAAAACAAGACGTTAAAGACCTGTCGCCGACATAACGTGAATTCACCCCACTCACAGACGCTAACTCTAGAGCCTGGAGATCACGTCCCATGCTTGCTGCAAACTACCATAATCCAGATTCACCTGGGGAGGAGGCCAGGGAATGCAAGGCTGCATTCCATCACTGAGCTGCATCCCCAGCCCTGTAACACATGCCTTTATGTGCAACAAGCAGTTTCAACACAGCTAACAAAAACAGGTAAGTGCTGGGATAAATAAAAAATATAAAAAGAAAATTAATGGCATTCACAAATTATCTGAAATTAAGTGGAAAAAAATGATCACAGAAAATGCTCCTGAAGACATCTATGTCTTTCTTGGTTTTTTTTTTTTTTTTTTTTTTTTTTTTT